AAGCCACACCAGATCATGATTTTGCAGCATCTCAAAATGGTGAATACTGAAGAACAGTATACATTTGTTGCCTGCAAGTAAAATTATGAAACTGGACAAACAAAAGTAATCACAGGGACCCAGGTACATCACCACACTAAGGGTGAAATACCAAACAGCTATTTCTCTCCGTATGGCAATGGCTGAAGCAAACTTCAACTGGCAGACCTTCTTCGACAAGATTTTAGCTTTAAAAGCAGTCATTAGATCAACTGGAATTGGCGTCATCGGATCCTGATATGCGACTACCGAATGATGGTATATTACGACGTTAAACGGCTTCGTCATTCATTTAACCTGACCCCTATTGCCTAACTCATTTGGAATTATATGACTCATTTTGTTATCTCTGAGCTCAAGTAAAACCGATAACGCATACTCCTACGGTATACCTAAGCTGCACGAGGTCAAAGTGCCACATCGACCACCATTACCCATGAAAATTCCTCAAAACATCTGTTGTCGAAATACATGGTGAAATTTCTTGTAAGCGTTCATAAATTATTGGTTAGAAAACATCATCGAGAACACATTCAAAATTGCAGAACTTTAACGGCTTGTCAGGATACAAAATGGATCATTTGGTCTCGTTTGATATGCTGTCGTTACTCACGAATCATCCTAGAGATCATAGGTTTCATCTTAGATGATAGCTTTTCCATGCAACTTGAATTTGGTATACTAGTATCAGTTCTTGAAAAATTGATACTACTGTACCCGACAGACTTATACCCCCCTAGACCCGGCTTATTGGCAGATCAATTACGTTACAATAGGAGTTCATTGGTTCCTGATTAGGCTAATATAGTTAGGGTTCGTCATTCAGAAAACGCAAGCAACATCCATGAATGTTCTGAATTTTACTGAGAATAGGATGAAGATACTTTGGCTTACCAGCATTACCTGGCTGGTAAGAGACGGCTTGGATCGCAGATGAATCTACCGGTCTACATCTGGATATAATTCTTGGAATTCAGTCAAACTCGAGAAGCACATTTCACCCCCCATCCTTCTTCCTTCAATATCCATCTGACTACGAGGGTCGATGGAATGATCGCAGATCTACTTACCAAAGAGGCCCTTGGACAGGGGATTATTTGCACTTTGACAGCCATGTACCTATGGCAGATGAACTCAACCTGGTTCAAAACGCTTCGCATTTTGGGAATTATTTCTACAGAAGTCATGAATGGCGAAGAATAAAGATAGTTGAAAAGAAATTCTGTCTAAAAAGCCTTTCGTGATGGATTCATTTGAAAGTATAGCACTACTAAGGCCTTCAGACAAACGACTGAGTCTGCGGTGGAATTACTTAGCACAGTTCACATTTCAGTCATAGTTGATGGTATTATTGCTTAGACAAACGACGAACTTGGTCAGCAGTAGATCGACCTCATCATATAAGTGATCTCAACATAGCCTATCAAACAATTTGGGGACCCGCACCCTCGTTAAAACAATGTCTACCTCCGTAAAACAAGCCTTTCTGATTTTCCAATCGAAATTTGAAAACGTAGCAACGTTGAGACAGTTACGTATCTGATCGAAAAAACATTATAAATTAGGTATGATAGTAGGTGACGCAATAAGAGTCAGGTCAAATGCATGATGGCAACGTTCAACACCGTCGGATGCTGTTGTCGATGGTCGCTTCCCAAGGTCCGGTGACGCCACACATAGATGAAGCTTTGTATGGAGTCGGCAAAAGAAACAGCTTGTTGATTTGCCTTCATCAAGATGTAACAGTGATGAAATTGTCGCATCTTAGCAACAGCCGAAGCCGTGAGCATTCGACTCTACAATCCTCCCCTGTGCGCTCAGAAACAATGTGTGCAAGCACTTAAACTTCCATGGCCCACTTCTTGTTCCCGAACACGTGTGCAACCACTCGAACATTCTTCGCTGTGATCAATTTCACATGCATTCACACACACACACACACACACACGTGCACAGACAGATTTGGATGATCATCCCCTTAGTTGGTTTGAGTCATATTTAATGTTATGCATTGGTATGAGTACGAATAACTGGAAACGAGCTTGTTCACCACGCTGTTTTGTTCTCAATGTGTTCTGTGGGATTCTTCGTACATATTTTAAAATCCAGTTCATTTTCTGCTTGTGAACCTTGGCTTAGCTAGCCGAATTCTAATCTCCAACCTTAGGTCTACTGAGTAGGTAATCCTTCAACTAATCTGGTGTAGTACGACCATTAGTTTCCAGTTAGATCCTTGCTAAAGTTGCAAACCGCACTTTGAACGATATTTGATGAGCCTTCTGATTTACAATAATTTACTGTTTGAATGACACGCGTAGCTCGGTTGTACAAGCAGTGGAATTTTTTTCATGAAATCGGCCTTACTCCTGACCTATGAACTTATGTGGTTACATTTCACTACAAGTCTCAGGGTCTGGTTGCTTATAGTTCCTTACAGTGTTGTGGACCTTTATGGTCATGGGATGTTTACCACTTCCAAGGCACCCATGCACAAGCGTATGATAAAAAAATAAGAATATCCATGCTATCTCTACCACCTGGTACCTTTTGCTATCCAGTTAAAGAGAAAATACCCAATATATTTCTTGGGGACTTTTCAACAAAATCCTTTCATGTATGTAACTTGACTCATCCATGTTATCTCGAGTTAGAAAGTCATGCACCAGACATTTGTTTTATTGAGCGCTTACGTTCCACAATATGACAGTGTTGTTCAAATCAAATGTTGTTCACTTGGTTTTGCTGAAGATGAACCTCCACTCAGCTCTAGTGAAAGAACATTGAGCAAATGGAAATAAGTCATTCAGAGCACATATTTGCAGAAACTGTTACAGGTTCCATCAATAGTATCAGCTACTGATGCTTTTATTGAGCTTTCAATTCGGGCTGGCACTTATAAGGCCTTGACCTGCTGGATCAAGGGGAAGAGCTCAGTCAGTCTTCAGTCTTCGGGTAAAGGGCAATGGGAAGTCATCCCGTATGAGCCCCATCACATCGTACTCTGTTGACTCGGCTAGATGTCGATGCTCCGCCAGTAATCCTTCTGGGTCTGATCCAATTTCCTCCTAAATAATGTCTCGGTTTCCTCTTCCACCACTTCGGTCGGTAGAGTTTTCCAGAGATTGATCACTCTCCTTGGCAATCGATAGATGGCCGGTAGGCCGGTGGAATGCACCTTACGAAGCGTCAGAGAGTGTCCTCTGGTACGATCATTATTCCTGAGCGGGAATTCCGAATGAAGTTCTCGGCCCAACTCACCACGGATTATTCGCCTGGCATAGATGAGGTCGCCTCGAAGACGTCGATAGGAAGTACATGTGAGACATACAGCAGTCGGAAAGTGTCCAGGGCTAAAGGATCAAATGAACGGCGAATGGAACCAAGTATCCTCCACGTTGAGACGCACTCTGTCTCAGTGTGTACTCGTGTCTTCAGATTGTTGGTGACAACAACTCCGAGGTCCTTTTCCTCATGCGTGTTACAGAGTACGATACTCGCAAGGCAGTAGCCGGAAGTATCGTTGGGGCCACCAATCCTTATGCTCGCGTATTTTTCCATGTCAATCGGTAGACCTCAGGTGGTCGATCAATTGACGAGAGCCTGCAGATCCTCCTGTAGTATCTCGCGATCCTCTGAAGACCGAATGGTGCGCCAGATCTTTAGTTCATCGGCGTAGATAAGGCATTTGGATCGAATGGTCTGTGGTAAGTTGTTCACAAACACTGGAAACAACGGGGGTTCTAGCGCGGAGCTTTGCTGCAAGCCACTGCTAACTGGATACTAAATGGACTGTGAATGTGCAACTCTTACGGAAAAGCTTCTCTTGACCTAGATATCCTCAATCCAGTTGAGCATGGGCCCTGAGATGCCGATGGCCCGGAATTTCAGCAACAACCCATTGTGAGAAACTTTATCAAACGCCTTACTAAAGACCACAAAGATGACGTCCGTGCTATATCCCTTGGCCTTGGGGTTCAATCAACTATCATGGGCAATCAACAGGTTTGACAGACATGATCCATTCCGCCAAAAACCGTGCTGCTCAGTACATAGCAGTTGACAGAGCTCCAGATGTTCCCGTATGTGAGCAGCCACCAGGTTTTCCATGACCTTTCCAGCTGCGGAAGTGAGGCTGACTGGGCAGTAGTTGGCCGAGGTGGATTTTGTCCCACCCTTGTACAGCAGAAAAACGACTGTTGCGACTATCCCGATGTCTAGGGCTGTGAATCTAGCAGTAACTTAGTTTCTCTAGCTACACGCACGATATGGGCAGAACACGATTACGGGCAGCAGAACAAATTCCAATCGAATAACCGTGTTTATCGATGATTCGTGGTTCTAAATAATACAATAAGCATAAATATACAGCAAATAAAAGACTTACAGCCAGGTGAGAAACCAAGAACAATGGGCAGTAAGCTTCCGAAAATCGGGACAGCGCAGAAAATAAAAACGGTCCACTTAGCAGGCAGCTGAACGAAACTGTAGCGCAACTCGGTTGTGGTACAATAAATCGATTACAAGCGCGTGAATTCGACTGTGGTTGCACTGGTCAAAAGTGTCATTACCAAATAAGTACAAATAAGCTAAGTCTGTGGAGTAAACAAGAGTACGTGCCAACATGAATGGGCGAATCCAGCAATAGATCTGTTAATGCTGTTGACGCATGACGACCAATAGTGGAGTGCACTGACAGAACGCTAAGACTGGGAGTTCGAGCCTCCGTTCGGCAGTACAAATGAAACACTCAGAAAGATTATATAACAGTAGAAGTGTAGACCTTCGGGAAAACAAGGTAACGAACAAAAACGTGAACTGTTCATGTAATAAGCACCATGAAACTCAAGTATAAGCTGATGTGATACCTTAGAAACAGGGAAAATACATTACGAATGTCTGGGGTTCACGATGCATGTACTCACTACTGATAAGTAACTAAACAGAAGGCAGAAGGAAAAACTCTAATTACGATTCGTAATTAACAACGACTGTTTTTTCCAATCCCGGGGTAGATTACCAGTGGCCAACGATAAATTGGACAATCGCGTCAGTGGTGTAGTTAGTTGGTCCCGCATATCTTTCAACATCAACGGATGCACTTCGTCCGGTTCCGGAGACTTATGGGCTTTGAAGAAATTGCGCATCTTATTCACTTCCGGCTTCCCAAAATCATGCATAATGAACAGCTGCAAGCCATCCACCATCGGGATTGGCACACCTGTATCCACAGAATAAACTGACAGATATTGCTTGGCTAATGTTTCAGCCTTTTCTCCATCTGTTGCACTTGGGTGCTCGCACTGCATCAACCGCAAGGGCCTCCTCGAAAGCCATCTGCTTTATCCGCCTTTGTTCGGTACCATGGGTACGAATACTACGATAAAGATCATAACCCTCATATGTAGATCGGAACCACTGCCAAGCCCGATTTCGTCGTTTGAGCAGGCGTCTGAGCTCCAGATCAAACCACGGCGGGCCCTCCATCCGGGGTCTACGTCGGTTGAGGGGGCAGTAGGTATTCATTAGGTACAAGATACCGTCACGAATAAACGCTCAAACTTTGTTCACATCGCGGTGGACATCTGAATCCGTGGAAAACCAGTTGACGTCTAATGCCGCTCTCCGGGCATCTTCGAATGGAGTGCGCCAAACACTACGTCCAATGTGTGGTCTAAGGGATGGACAAGAACCACTCCGCCAGTGAATTTCTGGCATCATGTGGTCACTGCTTCCAAGTGGGGGGAGATGCTCAAACTTATCGACGTCCGAGCTCCTGGGAGAAAACATCAGATGTAGAATGGAGCCTTGACTGGATTGCCTCCGGGTTGATTCCTGAACATGTTGGTGTAGTGCCAGTTCTTGGACCGTTGCCAGTAATTTCCGAGAGAGAGGATCTACACCGGCCGCCGTCCTGCCTGATGTCCAATCAAAATGCGGAGAATTGAAGTCTCCCAAGAAGAGGCAGTGGCCGTCGCACACGCATCTCCTCAGTAAATTCATCATATTTGGAGGAGTGACCGCAGGTGGCCGATAGATGACTCCAACTGTCCTAAGGCCTCCGGCGGTAAGCCTGAAGCGACACCAGACAGCTTCACCGAATTTTTGCGGATCTGCGAACGCCTCTCACTGCGCTGTTTGGATGTCTGATCGGACAAACAATGCTACGCCTCCACCAGCCCAGATAGATTTTATATCGACTCGGAATAGGGTGAAGCCAGGGACGGATACCTCAGAGTCTAGAACACTGTTACTCAGCCACGTCTCTTTCAGTGTTATCATAGTAGGTGAGCTGGACTGCAACAAGTGATCCAGGTCAGTCTCTCTTGTTCAGCAGACCATCGACGTTGGAACACAGGATAATGACGCTGCCTCGGCCTGCTACCAACTCCGTTTGTTCAGGGCATCCTAGCTTGAGGGGACTGACAGGGACTTTAGCGTCAGTGGCCTCCACCGGAAGTGAGGCCGCCGTTTCTGCACCCGAAAACCCCAAATGATCAAGTCCGTTTCCCCTTGTTCCTTTCGGCCACGTCGTTCGATCAACGCATTTTCATATTTCTCACGATCCGCAAGATCTGAATCTTGGTGCAACCGCACTTGCTCGCCTTTTAGCCCGTAGGATCTTCCTAAAATAGACGTTGCGGCTTCCTCAGATTCCAGCACTACTTCCAGTGGACGGGAACATCCAGCCTCACTGGCTTTGCTTATTTGGAAGGCTGATTCCACCCGCATTTTCTCCACAGTTTCCTTCTTCCTGGAGACTCGCGATATAGTGGTCCAGATGTGCCTGTTCCGTGGTCTCCTTTGTCTCAGGCAAGATCATAATTAGGAAACACTGTTTCCTTGACGGTGGCGCTCTTCGTGGACGACCCGCTGTTGTTATCCAGGCTGGTTTTCTTCCATCCACGGTGGTGCTATGTTGGCTGAGTGTTGTACCTATGATACCGTCCTCTGCTTGAGTGGCCACATCAGTGCCAACTGGGTCCGCATTGTGGCGAACAGACTTAGATAGCTTCTGGCGTTGACGGCTTTTTGTTCCGGTTGGCTCAGTTACCGATGTTGATGCCACCTCTGCATACCTAGCACAGTCAGAAATAGATACCTCGGCGGAATTTTCCCCTTCGAACGGCGATAATGACGGTGCGAGTGATGATATTGGCGAAGGAAGAGATGATGGTGCCGCTGATTCTGCTGCTATTGATGGTGATGAACTGATTGATGGTGCTGATGATGATGATGATGACGACGACGACGACCACGAAAATGATGACGCTGCTGTATTTGTGACAGGAAGAGCCATTTCCGCCGACTGCTTTGCAGGCCACACAGGTGTTGATAGCTCGGTGCATCTGATGTACAACACATTCAGCAACTTTGCACGGCATTTTTCCACGGCTTCTTAAAGATCACCACTTATTTCGAAACACTCAAGACTGGCCCAACCATCACACTGAAGAGATCTGTCGTGTGGTTGAAAAACTTTTGAACAAACTAGGCATTTGGATGCAACATTTTTGACTCCTTTTGGAGGCATTGTGGGCAAATTATAGTCCACAGAATGGTACAACCACAGAAAATACAATTCCAAGTATCACGCCGAGAGACCTGCCGGTGGAATGGAAATCTGTTTTTCTTCGAAGAATATCAAGACTCAGGAACAGAATAACATCGCAAAAATTTACGCAAAACAAAGCCCTTTAGTTGACTCGTTTTGAACCGAGCGCGATAAACACAACAGTGTTTTCATGGCTTCATTGAGATCAATAGTGGAAAGTACAAGAATATATATATATATATATACATATATTAGTTGGAGTCATGTATTTTTCCATCGTTTAGAAGACTTTGACAGGTAAATTTGGCCGTCAAACATGAAGAGACACTTGATTTAGGACTTTGAATTTTGAGAGGAAAACAAACACTGTATAAATAGAACTGTTTCAGCCGTCGAGGTTCATGCGAATTTCCTTTGTGGTGTTCATCTTGTCAACCAAAACACACGCCTGGCAAGGCCCTGTAGACTTAGGGCCTATATTTATGCTGAAACGGATAATTACAAATGCAGGACTTGTAGAGGGATGCGAAAGAGATGTAGATAAGTCATGGAACGAGGGATCGGCAGGGTCCACAAACATATTCTTGGCGAATGTGGCACAGGCTATAATGTGGAGATGGCAAACTTCGGAGATGAGAGAGCACGTAGAAATCATACAAACGACTGATCATGATCAGGTTGCCTAGTTCATTGATGAAGTCTATCTAAAATGGACCAGAACCCACTACGGGAGAGCAATAGATTAAGATCGGCAGAATGAATTGAAGAACACAAGCGCATATAACAGCTTGTTCGGGACCACACTGTCTCGAGTTACGAAGGAAAAAATACAATCTGCATAGTCTTTAAAATACAATCGAGAATATGGGCAAAGCAATGTAAAACAGTGCTGACTGAAACGCCTTAATGGTTCACCGAGCCAGCTCTAAATGTTGATGATTGATTGCTCCTCGGGGGGGGGGGGGGGGAGGAACGAGAAAGGGTGACAGTAAATTCAAAACATTTGTAAGTGATGACATGTAGTCCAATATGTTACGAATATCCCGGATGTTGTATACATTCCTGGAAAGTAAGTTGAAGTGCTATTGGTTGGAGATAGATTGAAAAAGTGACACTTCATCTACACAATCGAAAATGTTTGCAGATGGTGCTACGGTAAAGTCGCTGCCTTTTGGAGTGAAAAGAAAATGAGAGAGAAATGCACCTTCTCCCAAGAATACCAGAGTTGTTAGTAAATGGACTCAATATTTTTGTGTCAAATCTAGTACATCGGCTTCTTTTGAAAAAGTTGCCTATCATCCACAAGAGTGAAGATATTTGACAGCCGAAGAAGAAAAAGAGAACGGGGCTCCGAATCAAGAGCGAAAGAATATTCGAGCAAAAAACAGATAAAGGGATATTGTGAAACTTTTAAGGGGGTTCAGTATGAAATGGTGAACTGAAGCAGCGGCTTCCAAAACTCATCAGTAGGGTTTTGTACAAAAACTAATGGGGGTCATTCGGAATACAAAAAAGAACACAGTAGAGTTAAGAAAGCGCTCGGTCAAGATGAGCGTAGAAATGATGGAAACGAGACGGGAGAGTTCCCACTATATTTTGGAGGTAGAGTTTGAAAATGTGTTTCTGTTTTGGGTTCCCAGTAGGCATGATTGGCACCAACCTCAACAGATTTATTGATAAGAGAAGTCAAAACTCCAGGTAGCTGACTTGCTCCAAGCATAAGAACAGTAAACGGCAAGTGACCCAGAATCTGAGTTTTAGGTTTTAAACAACATAAGGATTTTTCTATAAAAGACCGGCTCTACATCTGAGTAATGTTATTGGATGAATGGTGAACAAAGGCGGAATTTAGACTGCCATTTGCTATCTCGCACGTTTTTGACCAGGTAAATTGTGCATACAAAAGTAGGATACCGTGCAATGGAAGTTACCCATGGATGGTCGTCGAGTCTCTTGCCTAATCAGGATGCAGAGTTGATTCAAGAGAGCCTGGTTGTGTAATTTACAGTCACGATCTTTCCGCTTTCTCAGATATTTAAGCAAAGGAGACGCTATCTTGACGTTGGTTGAGAAATACAGTCCTCCTGAGACAACACAAATCATACACCCTCCACAGTACATGTGTAAATGTCTAGACAGAAAAGATAAAAGTTGAAAGATACCCACGATGAAATAAGCGAGAGGTCTATTCGAAGAAGCGTGATGCTGTTAGGCGAAAGGTTTCCAAAGGTCTTCTTCATTCGGTTCGTCTCGGCGAGTGAACAGTACGTTGAGCGTGAATACATTTAGTTACGATGAAAACGAGAAAATAATCACTAGCTGGAACAAGAGCTTCCATTTCTATTCTAATAAGTTCGGAATGTTTTGTGATAATTCTGTCTAAAACAGCACTTCTCCTATACAACAACAAAGAAAACAACATCAAAAATGTCCAAGAGGAAAATTCAAAATATGTAGCAAACGAATACAGTGGAAGGAACAAAATATATCGAAGTATTCAAATAAAAAAGGAAATCATATATATATATATATATACATATATATATATATATATATATATATATATATATATATATATATGAAATGAAAAGCAAGAGGACAGATTGACATGATGTGATTATCCTTGCAGCTTGAACACTGAACTGACTATTGAAAATTATGGAAGCACTGTACAGCTGTTTGATACCCTAAGGGAATCATGAGCATTGCACATGGACCGAGAGGACACAGGGACACGAACAAGGGTTGGGGGGAACAATTGTCATTGGATACCCCTGATCAACAAGGCTATTCGCGATGGCTCACAACGATTTGTTCAGCAATAACAATACATGATATAGCACCATTCCAAAGCAGGCTTAGTCTTTCGCACCATCTTCGCTTCCTGTGTCGCTTTGAACGGTATCAAACAGCTTCGCGCACATCACTCCAATCCTATGTTCCATCACTTCTCTTGAAAGTGGATTAAGTCCAAACCACAACATTCAATTCCGTACAAACCACTATCCTAGGTTACTAGATGTAACTGAGTACTAGGAGGTAAGATTTGCATAGTAAGATTCTCCATGCAACTTGAAAGCTCAATAGACCATTGGAAAGCATTGAAGCACTGTACAGTTGTTTGATCCCCTAAGGGAATCATGAGCATTGAACAAACACCTAGCCGGCACGCGGACACAACCACGGAGTGGAGTGAACTAATGTCAAAGGAACACCCAAACCACAAGGTCATCATGCATGGTCCTCAACGTTAATTAAACACGAACATTACATCTTCATGCAGCGATCTTCCACTGCAAACAAATTCACGCACAACGATCCAATCCTATGTTCCATCACTTCTCCATTTATGGGCCTAAGTAGAACCAAGGCTTTCCCCTATGAATAATCCACACAAAATGCTGATACAATGCAATTGAGCAGTAGCAGAGTAGATTTGTATAATATGATTCTCCATGCAGCTTGAACACTGAAGTGAGGATTGAATATTATGGAAGCACTGTACAGCTGTTTGATCCGCTAAGGGAATCATGAGCATTGCAAATGGAACGAGTCCACACGGGGACTCGTACAAGGGTTAGGGTGAACGATTGTCAATAGAACACCCGAACCACAAGGCTATCCGATATGGCTCTGAACGCTTTGTTCAACATATACACTACATGATATAGCACACTCTCCAAACTGGCTTCGGCTTTCGCTTTGGCTTTTTGCAGCGAGAACCAAATTCTCGCACACCGATCCAATCCTATGTTCCATCACTTCTCCATTTATGGGCCTAAGTAAAACCAAGGCATTCGCTTATGAACTATCCACACAAATTGCTGATACAATGCAATTGAGCAGTAGCAGAGTAGATTTGTATAATATGATTCTCCATGCAGCTTGAACACTGAACTGACCATTGAAAATTATGGAAGCAATGTACAGCTGATTGATCCCCTGAGGGATTCATGAGCATTGCAAATGGATCGAGCCAAGGCGAGAAAATCTAGATGAGTTGGAATTACCGATGGTCAATAAAACACCCGAACCACAAGGCTATCCGATATGGCTCTGAACGCTTTGTTCAACATATACACTACATGATAAAGCACACTCCCCAAACTGGCTTCGGCTTTCAAATTGGCTTTTTACAGTGAGAGTAAAATTCTTGCACACCGATCCAATCCTATGTTCCATCACTTCTCCATTTATGGGCCTAAGTAAAACCAAGGCATTCCCTTATGAACAATCCACACAAATTGCTGTTACAATGCAATTGAGCAGTAGCAGAGTAGATTTGTAAAATAAAATTTTTCCATGCAGCTTGAACACTGAACTGACCATTGAAAATTATGGAAGCACTGTACAGATGTTTGATCCACTAAGGGAATCATGTGCATTGCAAATGGACCGAGTCCACACGGGGACACGTACAAGGGTTGGGGTGAACGATTGTCAATAGAACACCCGAACCACAAGGCTATCCCATATGGCTCTGAACGCTTTGTTCAACATATACACTACATGATATAGCACACTCTCCACACTGGCTTCGGCTTTCAAATTGGCTTCTTACGGTGAGAAACAAATTCTCGCACACCGATCCAATCCTATGTTCCATCCATTCTCCATTTATGGGCCTAAGTAAAACCAAGGCATTCCCTTATGAACAATCCACACAAATTGCTGATACAATGCAATTGAGCAGTAGCAGAGTAGATTTGTATAATATGATTCTCCATGCAGCTTGAACACTGAACTGACCATTGAAAATTATGGAAGAACTGTACAGCTGTTTGATCCGCTAAAAGAATCATGAGCATTGCAAATGGACCGAGTCCAGACGAGGACACGTACAAGGGT